GGAACTTTCTAATCTAATAGCACATAACCGACTGTTAATGGGGATCCAGTCGATTAGTGCTGCCTCAGCTCTAGCGCTTAGTGCAACACTGACGACAGCACGACCATACGAAGATGCCACAGGGTCCCCGGATAAGCGCACATAACACAAGCTTTTCGAAGCGACAGATGAAGAGCGAATTTGTAGTACTTCGCCAGAGTCTTGCATACTGGTCTCGGATAGACAACAAACATCGATATTAAAACATAGCCAGCCTTATCTGTTGTCCGACCTGTATAGGTGTGCGAAAGTTGAAGGCAGCCAGTTTGAATGGTGCACGTGGTTTCAGAAAAAACTGCTTCAGTACTCATCTTCGGTGGTAACATGCAATTTTCAACCGGACAGTGACTCGAGAACATTTAGATAGAAGCGAGTTTCCACCATGGGCGAGCTGCTGTATAAGTCGAAAAATAACGATAGACAGAGTGGGAATCAAAGAGAGTGTATAAATGACGTAGCAAATAAATAAATAATAATGTGAATCGTTTGATTGTTAATCGAAGCAAGACAAGTATTTTCCATAAATAACGACATTTCATTATATTTGTGTATGGGCTGTGATACTGCCCGGGTGCTCAGACCGAAGCAGGTGGTTTTCTTAGTGGGCCACACCGCGAGCCTTTGACCTCAAGGTCTGACCCATAAGGCAGTGGAGCAATGTCAGGAGATGCAGTCCTATGGTTGCTGGTGACCAACGATTGGTTCATACGCCATTTGTTCTCGCAGGATACTGGAGCCCATATGCACCAATGGTACGAATGTTATCCTTACCTTTACATCTGCATCACATCCTTCTTGTTTATCGATACTAACCAGATACGTGAAATTTTCCATTTATTCCAATGTTTTTCCATCTAATGTGATTGGGTAAAAGCCAAACATATTTAGTATTTCTGAATGAAAGCAATCAATTGTTCACTGTTTTAGCTGAGTAGTTCAGTTTCATGTCAATTTAACGAATCATTATGAATTTTAATATCTATGACTAAAAGAATATGTACAGATGAAAATAAGGAGAAATTTGAGTAATAATTTGTAGTTAGTTATTATACATAAACTTCTGTATGTCAATTCATATTCAAAATCTATATTAGTTATAACCTAGGATACTGACAATGAATCCCATATTAGAAGTTTTTAGCTATCCATTGTGTTATATCTTAGTGAGGATTAAATTACAAGTAACCTCTGTGACCTATTAATGTATTAATATTATCTATATATTCTTATGGTATAAATATTCAGTAACTAGATTATGTATATCTGTATTCATCTTATTATAAGCTTCATTTTGACCTATAGACTATTATGATACAATTTAATGTTCCCATGTTCAATTTATTGATTACAATCTCCCATGTTCACAGCTACTTTTTCGCTTGATCTTGTATAAATGTTATTTCCTATTTGATGGTGTGATGTGGTCTGTTTGGTTGGTATATAAATCAGGTATGTTTGAAATAAATGATGCATAAAAAGGAAGCTGTTAGTAGCATTCTGGATTCAACTGGCAGTGCCAGGAAGGAAAAAGACTAATAAAGACACTAGGCTGCTTATACCGGTCGAACGTTATTGGTTTGGCACAGTGCTAAGATTGTATTTGTCATATTTCGATTGGTGAATGAATCACGTGATAATCAGCCAGGCTTAAAGTCACAACATACTGTTTCATGGTTTCCGATTCCTTCTTCTTAAAAGTTAATCATCAGTTTGAGACTTTAAATTCAATAGAAAATATCAAACTCTATAACAAAAATCTTATGTCTCTTAGAAACGAATTTACAGATAATTCTCGGTGTGTTTTTTGGAGAGATGTAAATCAATGTTAAACCATTTTCATTAATCGAAGTAGATAATAGTTGGGTAATATTATGAATTAACTGAAAATAGAAATGTAAACTATTGACTGTAAACTCTATGGTTCGAAAGTTAAACATTCATCAGGAAGGCCTTAATGCTAGATTTGATCTCTAGTAGGATAATGGATGCATATTATCATTTTTATTGTTTTGATAGATGAAGAATTTCGTGGATCAGTTGAAGTTGAACAATAATACTGTTGGATGCCGGCAGACTCTGTGGCCTAGAGATTAAACGATCACGTGAGAGACCTATAAATCCTGAGTTCGAATCTCGCTAGGCGAGATCGTCGATGCTCACTGCTGAGGAGTCCTACAATAGGACGAAACGCCCATCCAGTGCTTCTATGTTTTGAATAGTAGTCTGACATCAATTGATATATATATATAACAAAGAAATATATATTTGATTAGTATCAGAAGGGGTTGTGTGAATATTATAGTAATTTTAATGGTTGAGATCATTAGTCAGTCGAAGCTAGATCAACATAGAAAACCTGAAAACACTGGACGGTCATCTCGTCCTATGCCCACTGCTGAGGAGTTCCGCAATAGGACGAAACAGCTTGTCCAGTGTTTTCAAGTTTTCCATATTGGTCTAGCATCAATTGGCTCTTGATCTCAACTATTGAAATGAAAAATTCTTCAATGTTTTTAATTCTTTTAACAAATATTCCCTAACTGAAATAACAATCAAAGATACTCTGTTTTTTATAAAGCTTGATATCTATTACATAATGTATTATTTATATTTACTTTTGGATAACTAATATCCAACTGGCATAAAAAAAATGTGTGTGTGATCATTTTGTTACCATATGTTACCGTATGTTCATTCTTAGTATCGATTTTTTTAAAGCAAAAAAAGATTGTCATCAGTCGAGATTATCATACATCAGTACAGTTGTGGTGTGTGTTATTGATGTCGACAGATATAAGTTATATGTATCATCAATCAAATGTGATATATCTGGCAGTAGAAGGTTAAGGAAATCCAAGAGAAGAGAAAAAGAACACAGAATGATTATTGTAAATGAAGGAACAATGAAGTCTAAGACGATTGATTGATATTTTGCAAATAATTCTCAGATTTAACTAAGATATTCTGTAATGTTTGGTTGTCTCCACTTGTATTCTCATTCACTACAATGATAATCAAAACTTTGTATTATATAACTAATAAAGCAGTTAAAGAAGAACAAACTATAACTTAAGCTGCACATTTCAATTATATGTAAATGTTGATTGGATATTAGTAAATGAAGTATCTGAGAGAAATCTTGTTTCTTTTGTTAATGACAATGAATCATACAACATACTGTGATATGTAAAGGGGAAATAAATTGTAGAAATAGATGCCTTAGTAACAGAATTGTATATCAAAAAGGGGGGATTTATGAATACTTTAGTAATTTAATAGTTGAAATCATGAGTCGATTAAATCTAGACCACCATGATATCAACTATTAAATTACTATGATATCCATAAAAGATCTTTTTTGATATTAATCAGCATATGCTCACTAGTGACTGGCTTGAAGAGGTATTTCCTGTAGTTCTGGTGAGAAGCTGTAACCAGTAGAGTTCAACCGGATCTGTTTTGAGATAGTAACTCACTAAAGATAATGGTGGATGTGTGGCTCAATTCCGTGGATTAGTTGAAGCTAGACATTAAAATCATTGGATACTGGTAGGCTTAGAGGTTTACAGGTTAAGCGTTCGCGCGTGAAACTGATAGGTTCTGATTTTGAATCTCACGAGACGAGATCGTGGATGCACACAATATGACAAAACGGCTGTCCAGTGCATTCAGGTTTTCCATGGTTTTCTACCTTAAATTGATTCATGATCTCATCTATTAAAGAATCGTATGTGTAAATTGATTTGATATTGCTTACTTAAATCTTCCTATTGATGCTTTGGACTGTTAGTGATCAGTCTCTTATTAACATATGTGTATATTGTGCATCTGGTCTTTCATTCACAAGCATTATAAACGAAGATGGATAGTGGCTAGCAGCGGAATCTAGCAGGTGCGTTTTGTTCGTTTGTACAACGAAAATAGGATGGAAGAGATAAGGATTAGTGTTTGGTCGCCATGGAAAATATAATTTATCATTTTTCTAAAAAAAATACTGCATAAGAACAACATATTAATTTAGATGTAACAACTTGATTTATTCTTGTTATATTTAAAGAAAATTAGACATTTCCATTTATTATTGGATAATTCAAATACTTGTATTAAGGATTCCTCGAAATATTTATTAAAGTATTTTGATATACTACAAATCACTTTACGTGTTAATGGTTGAGTAGTGAACATTAATCCTCCCTAAAAGAGTGCAAACGATTATGTGTATTGCATGAAGTGCATGGACGAAAGTCTTTGCACTGATGGTGTATATGTAATGCGTAAGTTGTAATAAATACGTTTGATGACAGCGGTGACCATTTACCCTCCCAGATGAGTGAAGATACCTATATGTATACTATAGGGGTTTCGAGTGACAATTTATGTATTACAGGTATATATGTTACTTATATTTCCTCATAGACTGAGTATACTTATGTGTATGTCAAGCAATACATGATTACGATACCTATGCACCAAGATACTGGAGTTCAAACAATTTCCCTATTAAATCACATCCACAATTGATTGATCACTGGGTGGTGATCAATATTTTGCTTGTCTAGTCCTTATTAGTGAAGATCGAATGCTATCGATCATGTTGCAATGTGGCCACCAGTCTAGGTGATTCAACACTGCGGGCACTATGTATTGAGATTTAGATGCTGGTTGGAGGTAGTCAACAGGAAACCCTGGACCCGGGTTTCGTGCTACTTGACACTCATCAGTAAGGTTTACCTGTAATCTTGAGGGAACTGGTGCTGCCTGGCGGATTCGATCTCGTGTCACCCTATTAAATCACATCCACGAAATGAGCTTCTGAGCTTCTGAAAGTGAATTCTAATCTAAATAAAACAATGGGCTTTCACTACTTCAAATGATCAGAACATCGCACTGAATGATATAGTTCATGTAGTATACTAGTACTTCAGGGAAATAAGTCAAAGAAAACAAACCATCTATTATCTTTAAATGTTTATTTTGCAGGGTTTTTTTTAAATCATAATACAATTACATTGTTTTTCTTTTGAAATGATAAATGTATCTCTATATGAATTCAATGATGACATGATGTAATTAATCTATTTATTGTTTTAATAATACAGTCTATTTATTAGATTCAATTATAATCGGTTATTCATTAGATAAATGATAGATTTATTTACCAAGTCTTTGTGATATATAATATTTTCTTTTCATAAGACGTCGAATTAATGAATCACGTAAATTTGGATAATAATATTGATCAAGTTCATCATGTGTATATGGTAATTCATAAGGTATAAATGGATATCGTTCCATTTCATTTTCAGGCGGTGTCACAGCACATTTAACTTTGACAAATGAAAATACAATAGATAATATTGACAAGATTAAAATGGATTTAAACATTATTGGTGAATCTATATGAGAATAAGAAAAAAAAAGAAAAGAAAAGAATGTTCAGTATGATAAAAGGTTATAAGTATTTACGAATAATATAATAATACGATTACCTTAATTACTTACGCCTGTTACTCCTCATGGAGGAGCATAGGTCACTCACTGGCACTCTCCATCCAACCCTGTCCTGAGCAATACTTTACAACTCTTTCCAGTTCTTATTCATCCTTTTCATACCTGCTTGTATTTTCCGATGTAATGTGTTCTTCGGCCTTCCACTTTTCTGCTTTCCTTCACAATTCCCAGTTACGGCTTGCCTCATGATGCAGTTTGACGATTAGCGTATTGTATGTCCTATCCGTTTTCATCGTCTTTTCTTAATTTCCTCTTCAGCTGAAAGCTGGTTTGTTCCATACCACAGAAGGCTGTTGCTTCTGGTATTCGGCCAACGGACATTTAGTATCTCGCATAAAAACTGTTTATAAATACTTGTACTTTCTTGATGATGATTGTAGTAGTTCCCCACTTCTCACTTCCGTACAGTAGAGCTGTTTTGACGTTGGCATTGAAGATTTTGACTTTAATAGTGGTTGACAGTTGTTTTGAGTTGCATATGTTGTTCATTTGTAGGAATGCTGTTCTTGATTTGACAATCCTCGCCTTTAAGCCTGCATCTGATCCTACTTATTCATCAATGATGCTTCCCAGATACATGAAAGATTCCATATCTTCCAGAGTTTCGCCATCAAGTTTGATTAGGTTGCTGTTTTCCAACAACAAGATGAAAATTCCTTGAATGAAATGAGTCAATTCATTTTGAATAAGTTGAAGTATATGGTTGACGATCCCTGATATACCATCTAAATTAACTAAAACATTTTAAGAGTTTACTGAACCAATTCATATCAGTGAAGAAACCAAAGAAAATAACAAAACAATAAACAAGTTATTCATTTCTATTCAAAACAGTTATTTGCAAGGTTGTTTTCTACCAACGTCAAGACGGTTCTGTTGTACGGAGCTGAAACTTGGAGAACTACCAGAATCATCAATAAAAGTGTACAATTATTTATAAACAATAGTCTACGTAAGATACTCAATATCCGTTGGTCAGATATCATCAGCAGCACTCTACTGTGGTAAAGAACAAACCAGCTTCCAGCTGAGGAGGAAATTAGGAAAAGATGCTGAAGATGGATAGAACACACATTGAGAAAATCATCAAACTTAATCACAGAACAAACCCAAAATTCTAATCTTGAAAGGAACTGGAGAAGAGAAATATCAAGGAACACATTAACTTGAGACTTGAAAGCAAGTATGAAAAAGATGAATAGCAACTGGAAATAACTGGAAAGGATTACTCAGGACAGAGTTGAATAAAGAGTGCTGGTGAGCGGCCTATGTTACTTCATGAGGGTAACAGGTGTAAGTATGTAATTAAGTAAGCAAGTAATTAAATAGGTAAGTAAAGTAGATAGAAATATAAAGATATAAAAATTATAAACAGTAAGCTTGTCCTCTCAGTAATGTAAACATATTCTATCTAGACTATGTCATCTATATAAAACGACTTTTTGCGACAACAATACAACTTCAAGTATCAATAATAATAATACATTTGTAGATATCCCAAATGGGTAGCAAATAGGATTTTCTGACGTTTCGTCACCCAGTATGAGCCACTTCTTCAGAGAATAAATCAATAACCAAATCATAATTAATCCAAGTTTAAATAGTACAACGGAACAACTCAAGAATATTAGGTGTGATTAATGAAAAACAGGTCGGACCAAGTTTATTTCATGTCATTTCAGTCAAAGTGATTTATCAGCGACGAGTATGTAAATTTGTATGTGTATGCAGGGTCAGGGATGAAAAATGTAATCTTTATGGTGAGGATGGATATAGTTTAATTTGTATGTACGATAATGATGTAAAATGTGAATAGTATGAAATATGAAAGATTGAATAGATAGTCCAAATTAGATGGAAATTGAGTGTTTTTTTTATTGATCTCACCTAATGTTCTTGCTTTGTTCCTTTTGTACTATATAAACTTGCATTAATTTTGTTTTGATTATTTACTTATTCTTTGAAGAAGTGGCTCATAATGAGTGACGAAACGTCGAAAAAATCTAATTTTGATACTCATTTGAGATATCTACAAATATATTAATTTTGTTGACAATAGACTACCAATGAAAATCTGAAAGCACTGAACGGCCGTTTCTTTCTATTGTAGGACTCTACAGCAGTATGCATAGGACGAAATGGCCATCCAGTGTTTCCAGGTTTTCCATGTTGGTCTAACTTCAATTGACACATAATCTCAACCATTAAAATTATTATAATATTCACAAAACCTCTTCTGATACTAATCAAATATATATTTCTTTGTCATATATATATATATATATATATATATATATATATATATATATATCCCAAATGAGTAGACAAAAAGTTATATTTCTAATGACATTTCGTGACTTAATATAAGCCACTTCTTCAGAATAAATAAATAACACGTTATTTCCTTTATACTATTTAAACTTGTGTTAATTTAATTTCATTTATTTATTCATTTTGAAGAAGTGGCTTAAATTAAGTCACGAAACGTCGTTAGAAATACATTTTCTCTATTTATTTGAAATATAACTATCCACTTAATACTAAGTTTATTTAAAACTAACAAGTTCAACTTTAGCATTGATACCCTATGAAATGAATTAATTTCTTTGACCATAAATCCACTTTTTTATTGTTGTTGAAATCTTACTCTCATGATATATGGTTATGATTGTCGAAATATTGAGGAAATTAGGTTAAAATATAAATCATTCATAATCGATTAGATATCCATTAGTTTCTTTTTGTATAAGACAATGGTGGACGGTGACTCAATTTCGTGGATTGGTTGAAGCTAGATATTAACAATGTTGGATGCTGGCAGGCTCAGTTGTCTAGAGATTGATCGTTCGTGCGCGAGATCGATAGGTCTTGGGTTCGGATCTCGAGAGGAGGAATTGTGGATGCTCACTGCTGAGGATTCTTATTGTAAGACAAAACGACCGTCAACTGCTTCTAGGTTTTGAGATGATGGAGAAGATTTGTATCTCAGGTGGATGATTTTAATGGGGTTTTGTTCTCTGAGCTGGATGGTTTGGTCGTAGCGTTTACCGTTCTTCTGAACAACATCATCAACGACATCATCAAACCAATGGTAGATACAGTCAAAACAAAGAAGTATACATTGAGAGGTTTAAAGTCAACAAGAACCAATCAACATCAAAGTGTACAGGACAAGCTGTGAACCACATGTGGAGAAATTTGAACACTTCACTTCTACCTGAAGTTTGTGCTGATGATATTGTTCAGAAAAACGATCAAAGCTCCACGACCAAACCATCCACCTGAGAGAACAAAACTCCACCAAAAAAGCTTCCAGGTTTCCCATGTTGGTCTACCTTCAACTGACTCATGAATTCAATTGTTAAATTACATATATTACTCTTTCATTTGAAATTAAGTAGTTATATTAGGATTTGATAGATTGTTTTGTAATATTACGAACAATAAACTATAATAAATCTATATTATTGTTATACTTAAAAGCTATTCATGATAGTAATGGGATATTCTTAAAAGTTTTATGAAAGATGTGAAACTTTTTGGGAGAAAAACAAAACAACAGTACATGATTATCATAGTTTGTCAAATCGAAACGAACTGATTTGGGCTTCATTTAATTTGTAGTTGAAAATTATTTTGATTCTTATTTATTTTAATGCATAAACATTGTTACAAAAGAGCACCAAATATATATGTACTCGGGTGTCCAAGCCGAAGCAGGTAATTTTCTAAGGGAGCCACACTTCAAGGCTTCAACCTAAAGGTCTAATTCACAAGGTAGTGGAGCAACATAAGGGAGTGAAATGCCATGGTAGACGGTGATCAACAACAGGTTAATACGCTATTTGATCCCTCAAGATCATGGATTCCTTGTGCAACATTGGTTTGGAATGAGGATTTTCCAACTCTCCTAGGTGGGTAATCTGTGATCATCAACCCTGTATAGCTGTGGATATTCATTTTTGTCCATGATGAGAAGTCAGTGAGTAGGACTTCCTTGATAGTGGCTGTATACGTGTAGTTATGTGATAACATTTCGTGAGGGAGAGGCGGACTCTCCCCACCCTCTACCGTACAATGGTGCGAATACAAACAATTCGTATGCAAAAAAACACTTATCCTCTTCAAAATAGTAAAGTAAAATCAACAAAATGTTGACATCATGTTTTTGAGCCTAATGTGTTAATTGGTTGTAGGGTAATCAGTAATTGATCTTAATATACCAATGAAAAGTTCTTTATTGTACATTCAGTAGGATGGTGATGATCTGTGTGTATATTATCTCAGGTTTAATTTATTTCTTTTTGGTACAATGAATTCTGTTTTAAATTTATATTTATACTTTATATAGACTAATTATTAATAAAAATAGATCATTCGGACATTTTCATTAATGAAGAAAATAGTGATACTAAACAGAATGTGTTATCTAGTTATTAAAACTTAACAGTGCGCATTCACAATCCCGCACTCAGAACCTTCGGTCTCAGGTGCCAAAGCTTAACTCCTAAACCACTAAACCGGCATCGAACGGTGTTAATGTCTAACTTCAACCAATCCACAATATTGCGCAACCGTCAATCATTATCTTCAGTGAGTAACTGCTTTACAATAGATACGGTTAGACTTCATTGGTCATTGCTTAAATTCATACAATTTCCACAAACCCTCATTCTGAAAATGATTTATCTACTTATAAAACAAAAAAAAACAGAGAAGTATTCTTGAAATTATAGTGAGAAATTGTAATCTGTGATATTCAGCAATGTTGGTCATGAGGCAAATACATTTAAAGTTAACGGATTTCGCCTATTCAATATTATAGATTCATGATTATCTGCTTGGTGAATTTAATTTATATAAAATGTTAATCTTATACGTAATA